TGGTATGCCTGTTTTCATTGGGGGGGGGGGGGGGGGTGTTGGATGGCTGAATGGTTAACGTGTGCGCGCTGTATCATAAAGTCTGTCATTGAGTCAACTGGCGTGGTTTCGATTCCCCGGTTGTACGTGACAAGGAGTAGGGTCGTCTGTCCAACCTCGTGGGTTTTCTCCGGGTCCTCCGGTTTCCTCCCACTGCTAAAGACCACTACGCGCAAGTGAATTATTGAAATAAAATTGAACTATATGTTAGTCCCGAAATGACCTAGTTTTTGTCGAGTGGACGTTAAACTCCATCTCTCTCATGATTTACAGTTTGTGTGTATAATGTAGATGAAATTTGTTAGAATGTGAAATGATTGAAAGGGGTTCCACTTGTATTGATGTGTTTGTTCAAGCATCGTGTTTAATGGCGTCTCTAATTAATTTCTGGTGTAAGGTCAAATCTTTATACAACACTAAATTTAGTGATGTATAATGTCGGGGGATATTTGCTTACACCCCGGATCAAGTCGAACGCGTTCAATCATAATACAACTCGTAGGTAGTGATTAATAACGATATTTTATATCTAAGACCACAACACGCTTTTCTCATCTTAGAAAACATTACAGCGGTTTGTCTTCGTGCATAAATCTGTCGTTTGTTTTAAGGAATAACAGATATGGCGCGGAGAACCGGAAACATTATCGGGAACGATTCGGGGTTATTGTTTGGTTATACTCATTAGTTTTTGTTAACAGCGTTGGTTCGAATAGGGCAAACACATCGCAATACTTTAATATTTTCCTGGTCTCAGTTCTTAGTAATTAAGGAAGTGGTGGCATCGAGTTAATTTGGGCTTACTGTTTACTCATCCTCGTTAGGATTTTTACGCACGCAGTTCGAGAGCGAGAGAGAGAGAGAGATGGGTTTAACGTCCACTTGACACAAACTAGGTTATTTCGGGCCTAACATATGGTTAAATTTTATTTCAATAATTCGCTTGTGCGTAAGGCTCTTTAGCAGTGAGAGGAAACCGGAGGACCTTGAGAAAACCCACGAGGTTGACTCAATGACATGCCTTATGATACAGCGCGCACGTGCTAACAATTCGGCCATCTTCGAAGAGAAAAAAAAACATATCGCAACACTTTAATGGGTCTATTATCTCAGTTGGGGTGACTCGTAATCAAGAAAGCTGTCCCGGATCAGAAGCGCGTGTGTGGTTTTTTTTTTTCTTTATAAATTGTTTTGGGTTACCGTTTACGCATCCTCGTTTTTTTTTTAACAACGCGGGTTCGAAGAGGGCAAAACATATTCCCGAAACGAGTTTGTTAATTTCTCGGTTCATGGTAATCAAGAAAACTATCCCGGGACAGAAACACGCGCGTGTGTGTGTGTTTGTAAGTTGATTGGTTTACCATATTTGATAGTTAAAACAAATCGTTTCTATGTCTATGAATGCTATCTTGTGGATTGGTTTCAAGTCCCTGTGGTGTATGTTAGTCTATATTATTCTGGATAGTACGTGTTTGCCTGTCCCAGATCGCCCTAAAATACAGTTATATATATTTTTTGAAATGAGAGTCTAGATTAATTCTGACATTATCCTTCTCCCCATCCTTTCTTTTCTGATGGTTTTGGGAATAAAAATTAACTTGATTAAGATTAGTGTCTCTTTGATAATTTTCAAGACTGGAAATGGAGATGAGGCCATGGAAGGAATTGGGGGTGGGAGACTACCATAGTGTTATTTTTAACGTCCACGGATTCACAGCTGACGAGTTGGACGTTACTCAGACAGTATTGTTTTCAACCGCAAAGGATTCTTTTACGAATTCCAACTGTCAAGGATTCTTTTACGAATTCCAACCAGCAAGGAACCTTTAACATGCACACATGTATAACTAAAAGAGCCCTCTTGTTCGTCCCATCCGAACGATTAAGCAATCCTTTATTCGTCCACCCCACAGGCGTCACCCCTGATAAATTATAAACATACCGGGATCCTTTCCAAACCCTTCTGGAATTTAAATCAGGACATTCTGGTCTAAAGTTTAGTTCTCTTACCACTCAACCACCGCCACTCCCTTACCACTCAACCACCACCAATCTTTTACCACTCAACCACCGCCACTCTCTTACCACTCAACCACCGCCACTCCCTTACCACTCAACCACCGCCACTCCCTTAACGCTAGAATAATCCTATCACAAAACCCTGACAATGTAAGCCAAAGCAGAAATATGGACTAAAAAAGTAAAATTTGACCGGTCCAGAGAGCCCATTCTGCTATACATTAATATATATATGACTCCGCGAAATATCATTCCTTACGCGTATTTTTGCAAGTACGATGCTGGATGGGGGACGATAATAGATTGAATCCAACGGACTGGGGTTGGGAATTACGCGGTGAAACTCTATTGCCACGCCGCATGGACACACCGTTAGCACCACCGCATCTACTAAAAGTAGTTCGCTGTACATGTAAGGGAGAGTGCGCTACAACAAAATGTTCCTGTCGTCGATATGGACTAGAATGTACGAATGTGTGTGCAAGTTGCAACGGAGAGACAATTCCACAAGCCCTGTCGTACTGGATGAAGATGAACTGGAACAGACAGTTTGGATGGACTTATAGAAATTGGACTCGCTTTTGGGTGTCGATTGACTGTAATAAACTAATTTCTGAATTTTACCGTAGATAAATTCTCTTTAATTTCGCCTCTTTTATTGTCGACATGAGCAAGCTGATGACGTCACAGTGGCATTGTCGTGTCAAGATAAGACCGTATTGAATTATGTTAATTACGGCATTTCGCCTCAGCCGATTTCGGCCGAATTTGGGTATGATGCTGTCTGATATATGTATGATCGAACCCAACTTCATTAGTTTCTTTTGCAATTTGTTTGGGGTCACTCCACATTTCGGTTTTATTTGCCCCGACTAATAATATATGACTGGATAACAATAGTCAGGAATTTGTTTCAAGGGGGTTTAAATACTACGTAACACTACTTTTGGGACCAGATTAACCCTAAGCCTATCCCAAACCCCTAGCATAAGGTAAAATTTTACTTTCATTGATTCGCGGCGGGGAAAACAGGAATAGAGTGAAAACTAACGATAGATGACAATAACGGCTTTGCACTGTTGACAGACATGTAGAACCACAACGCACGAGTAAAACGTGGACTACAGTGGACCCAAAGAACCATATCATCCAGCACAGCCCACGCACGTGCTAGATTATTCTCCACCCCCATCCCGACCTCCTTGTTTCAATATGGACAATTGCCACAGTGTAGACACAACCTATTATCATCAACCAATCCCACGCATTGAAACTCATCAAAATATCATTTTGTTTTTATTGCACGAATAAATGAACAACAATATTTGAATCAAGGGAATTCTATCATAATAACTACACTAGACGTTAAATAGAAGATCGTCCACTTTTATAATCATCAACAGATCATCGCACAACTGGTTTTATTACAGCTATATGATAGAACTCAATCTCATTAAAATACAGATCTATATTTCGTTTCGGTTTTTTTATACTGTCGATGGCCTACACTACATGACGCGATAGGTCGCGTCAAACGTCACACGAGCGGCTTTTGACCCCATGAGGTCAGACATTTGATTAACCCATCAGCATTGATGTTACTAGTGGATTACCCACCGTTCCGTGCAAAATACGCCTAAAGCTCGCCGTAACAGACCGTTTCATTAACTAATAGCTAACATCATTCAGAACACGTTAATTATAACAACTTTTCCAGATCCTAGTGTTGTAAAGACAAGTAAAACGAAACTTTGAACTATAAAAACGAAACGAAAAAGGATCCGTGTTTTAATCAGATTGGATATAACTCTAGTGATGATATACCATGGTTATATTATAGCTATATAACTCTAGTGGTGATATACCATGGTTATATTACAGCTATATAACTCTAGTGATGATATACCATGGTTATATTATAGCTATATAACTCTAGTGATGATATACCATGGTTATATTATAGCTATATAACTCTAGTGGTGATATACCATGGTTATATTACAGCTATATGATATAACTCTAGTGGTGATATACAATGGTTATATTATAGCTATATAACTCTAGTGATGATATACAATGGTTATATTATAGCTATATAACTCTAGTGATGATATACCATGGTTATATTATAGCTATATAACTCTAGTGATGATATACCATGGTTATATTACAGCTATATAACTCTAGTGATGATATACCATGGTTATATTACAGCTATATAACTCTAGTGATGATATACCATGGTTATATTATAGCTATATAACTCTAGTGATGATATACCATGGTTATATTATAGCTATATAACTCTAGTGATGATATACTAGCGATGCTTTCATGGGACCGATTGGTCCATAAAAGTTAAAACCCGTTTATTTCATTAACCAATATATTTAATCACAAGAAGGATTATTTACCACATTCAGCCATGGAATGCATGACCATTCGGACCAAAGTCCACTCGGACCAATTGATAGACCACTCGGACCAAACAAAAAGACTACTGGGACCACAAAAAATATGAATATTAGCTCTTATGTAAGGAAGGGGGACATTTTTAAATTATGTATAGATTCACCTATAAATTATTCGCTCCTTTGTATTGTTATTTTTTAATATTTTTTAATATTGGTCCGAGTGGTCTTCCAACATAAATTGATTGGTTCGAGTGGTCTTCCAACATAAATTGATTGGTTCGAGTGGTCTTTTGGGTTGGTCCGAGTGGTCTTTTAGGTTGGTCCGAGTGGTCTCAGTTTTGGTCCGAGTGGTCTTTTTTTTTTTGGTCCGAGTGGTCTTGGTCCGAGTGGTCTTTGGTCCGAGTGGTCCGGGTACCCAGCCATGATTCTTAGTCGACCATATTCTGGGTGGAGGAGGAGTATATTCGTGTGGTTGTTCTCTTGTTATCAGTTAATCTGTTTTATAATTCCTGTCTCGTATTTTTATAGTTTCAGGAACCAGTACTGGTCATCCTCTACCATCATTCCTCGACACACCCACTAATACAACATTTGGTGTAGGCGAAGAAGCTATATTACAATGTGCTATACAGAATCTAGGAACAAGAACGGTAAAATTATATACTTTTATATAGCAGATCTTTACATAATATTAATCCCATCTTACCCCATTCCCTCTCATCCATGCTCTACTATCCCCAGTCCCCAATTCTCTCTCTCTCTCCCTCTTGTTCTCTCTCTCTCTCTCTCCGACCCTATCTTTCTCAATCCCACCTTATGTGAATTCGAATACGACATACAAAAATACAACAACGTTTCTGATTGGTAGATATGATATTTGTAGAATATAAAAACCAATGAAAAACTCTCTTGCATGTTTCTGGACCTTGTTTGGCAATACTCACAGATTCTACAGTATTATTACGTATGGTACCGCATACATTTAGGTTAGCCAAGTTTTAGCATCGTGGTCTGGAAAAGAATCATCACTGTCTGAGTCGAAGTTTAGAAAAGGATCAATTTACCTAAATTAATCAAATTATAAATGAAGTCGAGTGAGAGTGTGAAACACTAGTGTTGGTCTGCCAAAAGCAAGACATGCTGTCGGATATATAATCTACTTGTAAAATAAAAAGTAAAAGTGATTGATGCTAATTGGACAGGTATCAGACCACTATGACAATATAAACTCTTCTATTAAAGAATTACGACAAAAATACATCTGACTGGATTTAATGATATTAAGATATCATGATGTCATTAATTCTATACCAATCTAAATATTAACATGTCTCGAGACATTTCCCCACGTGTAACGCCTGTCGGAATGACAACACATGTCCCCACTTGTAAAGCTTATTGGGTTGACAACACATGTCCCCACTTGTAACGCCTAGCGGGTTGACAACACATGGCCCCACTTGTAACGCCTGTTGGGTTGACAACACATGCCTCCACTTGTAACGCCTGTCGGGATGACAACACATGATGTCCCCACTTGTAACGCATGGCTGGATGACAACACATGTCCCAACTTGTGACGCTTGTCGTGTTGACAACACATTTAATTTTCGCTGAAATATTTTGAGAGACTTAGTATTAATCCCGCTCCAAAAATGGCGCAAATTCTTCCAATATTTACACAATTATGATAAATTGAAATCCCCTCGATCTTTGCTGCTTGCTATCAACACGAAACCTGATTGAATTCATGCCGAGATATTATCTAGCTTTGGTATTTTGATTTTGTTTTCTTAAAGATGCAAATGAAATGCGAGTAAGACGCAGGTTCGCTAGCCTGTAGGTCGGGTGTTCGATCCCTGCATTGGCCGAGAAAGTTCATCCAGATATTCCGGCGTAGTTCTCCCTTGTCAGTGATACAGGACGGAGGATCTGACAAGGACAACTGTCTAGTTGTTCGGATGGGAAGTAAAACCGAGGCCCCGTGTGCACATTGGCTTGCACGTAAAAGATCCCTTGACAGTTGGAATTCGATATAAGAGTAGGCCGTAGTGCCACTGTACAGGCAAAATTTCTCTCATAGCACACTGTATGGCGTATGCCCGTCTTCATTAGCCCAGTTCGGAGCAGAACAGTAGGACGTTAAACTCCATTTCACATCATTTCATATACCACTAGAATGAACGATGAAATATCTTCAATTTCACTATTTTTGAGAAATACAACTGTCACTACATGTGGTAATATTGTGTACAATACGTAATTTAAGTCATAGCTTTATGTTTATATTGAAAGTAATATTTATGTTTATATGTTGGGGTGTGTTTTGTAAATAAGACATTTGAATGGTGAGTAAAAACCTAGAGACAGGTGCGTGAACATCACGTGTGTGGTCATATGTACAAATAATGTATTGTATATCTTTATTTTGTGCGGAAGTTTGGCACGTGATATAAAGCTATATCTATTCAACACTGCAAACAACCAAAAACAATATGAATTCCGTTTTTAAATCCTTAGTTCCTGAAATTAATAGGGCAAAATCTGTTTCAGTATAACATTTTAATTCGTTTCGGTTTTTATAACATCATCTTATAACATGACGTCATGTAACAAACCTAGCAGCCAATAACATCATCTTATAACATGACGTTATGTAACAAACCTACAATATCACCATCTTATAACATGACGTCATGTAACAAACCTAGCAGCCAATAACACCATCTTATAACATGACGTCATGTAACAAACCTAGCAGCCAATAACACCATCTTATAACATGCCGTTATGTAACAAACCTAGAAGCCAATAACACCATCTTATAACATGACGTCATGTAACAAACCTAGCAGCCAATATCACCATCTTATAACATGACGTCGTGTAACAAACCTAGCAGTCAATATCACCATCTTATAACATGACGTTATGTAACAAACCTAGTAACCAATAACACCATCTTATAACATGACGTCATGTAACTAACCTAGCAGCCAATAACATCATCTTTCAACATGACGTTATGTAACAAACCTAGCAACACTTTTATAAACCGCCAATATCCCCATCTTTTAATATAAGTAATTTAAGCTTGCTATATATTGCGCAACGAATTCATATCAGTGGGAAGAACTTTGAATTAATCTTGTATATAATACAATTTACGCTTCAAAATAGTCCGATTTATCTTTTCTTTAAACAAAAAAAAACATGGCATAATACTGAAAACCATAATATATACAATTTTACACAACACAAAGATGAAATTCAGTTTAATATTTTTATTTAATCAAAATGGGATGTTTTTAGTAAGTTAAACTATAATATAAGTTGATTGATTTCTTCTAACTGAATCTGGATATTTCTTCTAAATTAAATTATATCCGCACACAATCCAGATTATCAATTTTAAACTTTTACAAAATCAGAATCTAAGCCGCTTATCGCTTTTTTACTTTCTTGCCACAAACTGATTTTTGTCAATCTAAAGATGCAAAGAAGTGATTTTATTTGATATATTTTCTTGATTTTCGTCAGTCGAAATAACGTTTTAGATTTTTTTCATAGCGACATGGGTTTTTTCCGGATTCCCACAACAACGCACAATTAAGCGAGTTATGGAAATAAAATTGAACCATGTGTTAGTCCCGAAATGACCTAGTTTGTGTCGAGTGGACGTTAACACTCCCTCTCCCTCCCTCTTTCTCTCTCTCTCTCTCTCTCTCTCTCCATTTAGATACCATAAAATGAATTATTTACATCGTGTCACATAACGACATGTCCTCCCGATCTGAGCGTGTTTTAAAATTGTAATATTCGACAATAAAAGCATTAAGTCTGGTAACATAATCAATAATTGTAATTTTATTATACCATTTATAGCTTCCTGTAGTATGACGAAACACGTGTTGTTTATTAATGGTATCAAAACATAACATTTCAATATTCTTTACTTTCTATTTAATTGGTGACAAAGGGAGTCCAAGTTCTTTGTTTAAACGGAGGGTTGGATGGCCGAATGGTTAGCACGTGCGCGCTGTATCATAAGGCCTATCATTGAGTCAACTGGCGTGGTTTCGAATCCCCGGTCGAATGTCCAACCTCGTGGGTTTTCCCCGGGTCCTCCGGTTTCCTCCCACTGCTAAAGATTGTTTTTTATCGTAGAAACGGTACTGGACAAACGAGACAATGTCTCGATTATGCATTTTATTGATCAATTTATCCAATATCCTGGGCGTTTAAATCCATTTAAATCACTGCCACCCGATGGTATAGAGAGTTGATTATGGCCTAGTGAATAAATGTCTAATTGATAATTTATAAAACACTTTAAGACAAACGAAAGACCTGCAATATGTAGGTTTAGCTCTTACATAATGTGTGTTTAAGTCAAAGACTCATCAGGTTAACATACAATTTATTCACTTGGTCTGATATATAGGCTTACAATGTGTGCGTCTTGTCCGCGATTTTATCTTCCGAATGTTTGTTTATGAAAGCTACGGCCCTCCTACCCCTTACTGATAGAGTTTACCACCAATATATATATATAACAATACGGCCCCCTACCGGTATCAGTATCTATATTATATAGATAGAACTCAATGACCATATTCAATGGTTCAGGAGAATGTATCCCTGCGCAAGTATTCCACGAGCGATATGCAAATGCAAATCTCAAAATACACTGTACTATCCAGATTATCAAAAAATAAATCATCACCAATAACGTTAGAATTCATCATAGTTTCCGTCCTTTTTTCTTACTTTTTTTTTACAAAAATTGTAGTTGCGTAGTGGTGACGTCATTACAGTTTGACGTACTTCTGAAAGTGACGTCATTCTGGACAAAAGTAGTACGTGTCCAAGCCATTGAATACAACTATAGGTTATTCAATGACTGTATTTAATGACTATATTCAATGACATTTGCTTGTATTTGCATGTAGTTGCAGAATAAATAACAATACAGTCCTCCTATCTTAACACCAGTTTATATATAACAATACGGTCCTAGTATCCTAACACCAGTTTATAACAATACGGTCCTAGTATCCTAACACCAGTTTATAACAATACGGTCCTAGTATCCTAACACCAGTTTATAACAATACGGTCCTCCTAACGCCAGTCTATATATAACAATATTATCAAAACCCATTCCTATAATTAAACAAATGGCGACCCGGCTGAGGACACTACACAGTCACCTATCATGACTTCATCAGTATCGAATTCTGACTCAAATAACTCTATTATAAGTTTAGGTCAATGTATTTGTCGATACAACACTTTCTAATAAATACGGCTAATGTGTTTTCTGTCAAATATCGCCATATCTAATGAGTTGCCGGTTTGACATCTAACACAGCAGTCGACTTATTAAAGTCCGGAGTGTATCGACTCAGTTATTGAACAAGGCGTCTGGAAGTTCATCAATATAAAACCCCGATATTTGATAAATGATCTGTCAAGAAGGAGGTCTTCTGTTTGAATAATTCAACAATTCAACTTGTAGCCATATTTTGACTGAGAGGTTAGAAGAGACCATTAAAGTAATTGTGGGGCAGTAGTTGGTTCTGGGTCTATGAGATATTTAGCTAAATGTATCAGGCGCGGATCCAGAGGGGGGGGGGGGGGGGTCCAA